GTCCTGTAGAGGTGGTCCTCCTCTGTAGAGGTGGTCCTGTAGAGGTGGTCCTGTAGAGGTGGTCCTGTAGAGGTGGTCCTCCTCTGTAGAGGTGGTCCTGTAGAGGTGGTCCTCCTCTGTAGAGGTGGTCCTGTAGAGGTGGTCCTGTAGAGGTGGTCCTCCTCTGTAGAGGCGGTCCTGTAGAGGTGGTCCTCCTCTGTAGAGGTGGTCCTGTAGAGGTGGTCCTGTAGAGGTGGTCCTGTGGAGGTGGTCCTGTAGAGGCGGTCCTGTAGAGGTGGTCCTGTAGAGGCGGTCCTGTAGAGGCGGTCCTGTAGAGGTGGTCCTGTAGAGGTGGTCCTGTAGAGGCGGTCCTCCTCTGTAGAGGTGGTCCTCCTCTGTAGAGGTGGTCCTGCAGAGGTGGTCCTGTAGAGGTGGTCCTGTAGAGGCGGTCCTGTAGAGGTGGTCCTGTAGAGGCGGTCCTGTAGAGGCGGTCCTGTAGAGGTGGTCCTGTAGAGGTGGTCCTGTAGAGGCGGTCCTCCTCTGTAGAGGTGGTCCTCCTCTGTAGAGGCCTGTAGAGGTGGTCCTCCTCTGTAGAGGTGGTCCTGTAGAGGTGGTCCTGTAGAGGTGGTCCTGTAGAGGCGGTCCTGTAGAGGTGGTCCTGTAGAGGTGGTCCTGTAGAGGTGGTCCTGCAGAGGTGGTCCTGTAGAGGCGGTCCTGTAGAGGTGGTCCTGTAGAGGTGGTCCTGTAGAGGTGGTCCTGCAGAGGTGGTCCTCCTCTACATTAACAACAGTCTGATTGTTTAATTACAGACTGTATAATTACAGCAGTGAGGGGCTGAAGGCATCGTGAGCACTTCACTGTCCCTCTGTAAAAAGCAGCTTCATCACTGCGAGATGAGGAGCAGGAAAACTGTTTAATTATAAAAAAATTAAATCTGTTACAAAAAAAAACGTTTTTGTTTATAGAGAAGAGATTTATTATTGATTTAATTTCTTTGGTTCTCAGTTGATTAAATCAGAGTCTATAATTATCTGCTCTTATTCTTTATTAATTAATATTTTATTGTTTTCCTCTTACAGAAACATAAATATTATTATACCTTTTCAAAAACTAATAACAGACTTCATATCTGAAGCAGATTTTAAATTGGATTTGTTGAAAATAGAGAAAAACCTGTGATGATATTTAAAAATGTAACTAAACTCTGAAGCCATCATGGAGGCAGCTGTAACCGCTGCAGGTCAGACGTGTTTACATTTTTATCTGCTGATCCATTAAAGAACCATCATCATCAAACATTTACCCTGTGATGAAATAACTCATGTCTAATGTGTGCTAGACAAGTCTAAGGCCAGCTTCATGCTGCTGAAACACTGCTGAAACACTGCTGAAACACAGCTAAAACACTGCTGAAACACTGCTGAAACACAGCT